GCTGCTTCTTGCTTTTACTCGCGTTTAGAGATGAAACCCTTTTTCCAGCTTGGTTTTTGTGTTTTTCTAACTCATTACTTTTTCATTAAAGATCTGCGTTTTATTTTAAGATTCAAGTACCTTTGTGATTAAGTGAAGTGTTTGTACTGCCTCCTTCTCAACCTTCAAAAACTGCCTGCTGCTTCTAATAATTCAGCACTATTACTGTAAAAAACTCTTTTTAGTTTAGTTTTCGATGATCAGTCCAAGTGAAGTGCTTCAGAGTTCCCCATCTTTCACTGCAAATATCAAAAACTTTGAATTTGGGATCAAATAGCACAATAAAGATTTTTTTTTTAATGTGAAACCAAGAATATTATCTCTGAAGTGCTGCATGCTGTCTGCATTAAAAGGAGACATGGTAAGCCGGCTAATCCGTGCTTGGATTCAAAATCTGATGGGAGATCAGAAGGAAGTGGGGATGAGTGGAGGGTGCTACAGTAGCCTGAAGAGCCACATTAAATAAGAAGAAGTGTGGACATCTGAAAAACTGGCAGCATAAATTGGCCCCTCCACGAGTGAGTGGATGGCCAGATGTGGAGTTACTATCTTACAAAGGTCGGTGTCATCCTTTTCACCAGCACCGATTTCATCGAACGCCGTTCCAGTTAGAAATGAGCAGCAGGGAAACCAATTAAACTTGAATACCTCAGCTCTCTGCCAGAGCTCCACTTTCTCTGTCGCATTAGTTCCACTGTGTGACGGTCACCACAGCCTTCACGGGCTCTGATTATACGAGAGATCAATCTGACAGAGCCAATAACAGGTCTCATTGTCAGCACTCTTTGTTGTAATGAAGAGTCATAATTGTTGTGTCAAAAAAAAGGAGACAATTAGCAGTTCTGAAAACGTGTCTCGTCTTCTCAGCACAGTTTATTCCAGTCAAATAAATGCAGCTGATCTTTTCTTCGTCCGATTACTTAAGTCACAAAATATAATTTGATCAATTTTTAATCTGCATTATTTGCAGACCAGGCTGCTTGTGGCCTTACACAGAGCCACGCATAAAGTTTCCTTCTTCAGCATAATGAAGATTAAATTAACTGTCACTTCATATTTGCTGATTGAATGAAGGTCTGTGCTGTATCTTAAGTAGGCAAATCGGCCCCATTAGTAACAGAGACGAGACATTCAATTATAAAACAGCTTTGTATTAGAAATGACACAGGAGAGTTACTGTTGTCTGAATCCAATAAACACTCTGGGTAGTTTTTCATTATTGACTGAGTTGTAGTTTAATGATAATGATCGTCATCATTTCTAGGGATGGGTAT